AGTAAAATCCATTTTCCTATTGACACAGATGTCACAACACACGTCAAATATCTTCTATTAGTTTACTGGTTTATTTTCTTTGAGGTCAAGGGTTCAAGTCTCCCTTCCCCTTCCCCTTCCCCCTCCAAAATATATATATAATTAGACTTATTATACTAAAGGAGTTATTTTCTTTGGTGGTGGGGGGATGTCCATTGCATTAACAATGAACATCTGAAAAGAAAACATACATTGTCTTTTCTTCGCACTTACAGCAAAGCATTTTCTCTGTACTCATGTTGCTGTTGTCGTTCTTTGTGAGTACATGTCACACAGGCTTTTGAAAGTCTGGCTTAGTTAACCTCAATACGTAGCTTGCAATATAATAGTTGAGCATTCTTATAAATAGTTCAAAATTTCATTTTTTTTTCAAATAAGTTTTCTTTAGTTTTTATAATTTGCCTTGAATAATTTCCAAGATCTGGACTTTACTAAAAGCTCTGATGATTTTCATACTGTAGGTGGACCCATCAGGTTCATACTTCTCTTGGAAGGCTTCAGCCATGGGAAAGAATATGTTTCATGCAAAGACATTTCTTGAAAAGAGATGAGTTCTATTCAAATTTCTCCAAAACCTTTATTTGATGGATGCTTTAACGGTTGCAGCTGGTAAAACAATTAGAATCTATTGAAGGTTTCCTTATTGTTGAAACTTTTAAGTGTTAGGATTCAATGGCACCATTATTGTTACTTCTCTTACAACATGGATTATGCAGGGTTGATTTTGTTTCTTTCTGCTATTGTGCCCCATTTGTTTTCAATGAGATAGTATACAAGGAATTATCATCTCCTAAGTTCCTCCTCCCAAATTATCATTGAGTGAAGGAAATAGTTATCATTATGTTTTCTGTTCTGTTTTGTTTTTTCCTCAATTCTGCTTGACTGTGAAGGACTTGGGTTGGCAGGTTTTGTTTTATGTACTTCCTAATGGAGGTTCTTCTGTTCTCCCACACCCCCTCTTTCTCTGTCTATATGTGTGCGTATACACTAGACATATCAAGATATTTGCACATCTGGAGAATTGTTTGAACCTTCCTAGGTTTCCTTCCAAACTTTTGCAGTTTAGCATCAAGTTATTCTTTCTTGTAGGTACACGGCTGATATGGAACTTGATGATGCTGTACCCACTGCCATATTGACACTGAAGGAAGGGTAAGCATTTAAATTTCCACTTGATTGCAATATGGTGGAACAGTGCTACTTATAATTTATTTCTTTTTGTCAGGTGGTATCAAGCGTTCTCTCTGAACTGAATTTAGTTCAAATTAGCTTGTTTCATCAGAATGTGAAGTAAAAAAAAGATAAGTAAAAAGAGAAAAAAATATTTTTGACTTTTCTCAATCTTAAATTAATTTCTGAACACTATCCTCAAGTCGGTTTGTGATGATTGTCTGATCATCTTCCCTGCCTTTCTTCTTGGCTCTCTATACTCATGTAGGCAAGGAAGTTAGAATTCTTGTATCTTACTGTTTAGATTAACTTGATATTCCTGTTTTTTGTATCTGTGTCCTAGATTTGAAGGACAAATCTCTGGCAAAAACATTGAGATTGGCATTATTGGTGCTGACCAGAAATTTAGGCAAGTTTTCCCTTTTCCTAGTAGTTGAGTGCCTGATTGTGCTTGTAATAGAATTTTGAGGAGCTGGTTGATAATCTTGGTATGCTTGTTTTGTTACAGAGTACTGACACCAGCTGAAATTGATGACTACCTACAGGAAGTCGAGTAGTTTGCCTGGTAGTGAAAAGGCTTGGAAGCCCTTAATTTTCTCTTGTCAGAAAAGAAGCTTAAGGTGATGGATTTGGATGTAGAACTAAGTTGTGAGCCATTCTTGTTAAATCTGGTTTTGTTTTGAGATGATATACTTGTTGAAAACCTTCTACAGACCAAAAATTTCATTTTTTGGGATCATGCAAATAGAAGTTAGACGAATCATCGAGGATCAAGGTTCATGGCTGCAGTTTTGTGATTTAGTTTTTTCGCCACATGGTACCGAAGAGACTGGAGAAAGTCTACAATATCGATTTTTTTTTTCAATACAAGTACTGCTTGTTATCACTTTTTATGGTACAATAATAATTTTGAAAAGAAAAGTTATAAGTTTTCAAGAAAAGTCTTGATCGATACACCCATGATCGATTATGAATTCTTTGTATCAATCTTAACCTTTTATGATTGATTATGTTTTTTAAAATTGTCATTTACACCTTAAAAAAGTTATAATTTTTGGTACGGTATCGCCAAGGGTTCAGGGAGCTTAACACAAACGTTTGACTTGGCAGACCTTGTCAATTTTCACTTTTCTCTCTGGAATTTGTTTGGTTTCTTTTGATCTTGTGCGTTGGAAGCAACCATATGCTCTTCAATTGCCTGTGTGGAGACAATTTCTTACTCACGGACAAAGATTGTCTGCTCTTCATGTTAAATTAACATGATTCCGAAGATTCAATGTAGGCGTTTCTTTGATCCACAAGGCGAGAACTTTAATATAGACGAGGGTATTGTCCATGAGGCATTACAAATAAATATTCGAAATGAGTATGTCAAAGTAACTGTAGTCATAGTGAGTAGAGTTGATAATCAATTGAGTTCATTTTTTAAACGAATTTAAAAAATTGTTAAAACTCAACTCTTTTAGAATATGAGCCGAATTTGAATTGAGTCTTATCTTAGCAAAGTTTGAATCACACTCGAGTAATTCGGTTCAATTGTCAGTCTTAATAATGAGCAGCCAAATATAATTTAAACTGTATAGATTTGTCCGATAATTAGTGAAAGAAATACAACAATTATTAAAATGTGTAAACTTTTTTTTTTTTTTTTGTCTGAAAATATTGCAGCTAGTTGCCCTATATGATAAGTCGAAGAATGATCATGGATTTTTTCTGAAAAGACTTGGCAATCGGATTGCAAAACTGTATTTTGTGAGACTATTAGGAACCTTAACCAAAACAAAAGGAAACACAAAAAAAAAAAAAAAAACCCATGGAGGGACATCATGGTATAGTTGCACTGAACGTCCGACCACCCCTTGCCCCAACCTTTAGTGAGGATTGTAGGCCACTCCTCTTGTTCGTAACAATAGCTTTTGTAATTTGCGAGACTTTTTTGGTTTTTATCAGTGGTAAACAAATATACTGTTTTATATGTTAATTTCTTGTCTCACCCACGTGTCTGTTAGAAAAGCCAATAATTATAAATTAACTCGGGCAAGTAGGAGCAGCCTGCTCTCGTAGCTCAGTTGGTTAGAGCACCCGTTTAGTAAGCGGGAGGTCTTGAGTTCAACTCTCAACGAGAGCACATTACTGTACTTTTTTGCCTTGTTTTTTTGGCTACAGGGTTTCTGTTTCTTCTTTCATTTTTTACCACTTGCTTTAATTTCCTAGTTTTTTTTGTCCCATTCAATGGGTCTGCTTTCTTCTTTCATTTCTGATCACTTGCTTTAATTTCCTTCTTTTTTTTTTTTTTTTTTGTTACAGGGTGTCGGTTTTCTTGTTTCAATTTTTATCATTTGCTTTAATTTTCTAATTTTTTTTTGTTACAAGGTGTCCAGATTTACGTAGACTACTCTCATAAGTTTTAAGTAGATCACCGAAATTCAAACTAATTTAAAGGCATGTCCTTGAAGAACAAATGTGACTGACCTTTAAGGGGTGTGGATACTTACAGGGAGGGTACTGCGAGGGAAGCATCTTGTAGAGCCATTTTATTTACAGTAACAATTAAGCACCATGAAGATGAAGTAGGGAGAGAAAGAGAGAGAGAGAGAGAGAGGGTTTGATAATGTACAAAAAGTAATGTCATATGGACTTAAAAAGTAGACTTGATAATCTCAAATTTTACCGTGGGTCCCAGCATTTGTTAGGACCCACTACCTATTCAATGGTTGAAATTATCAAGTCTAATTTTTAAGTTCATCTAACATTACTTATGTACAAAAAATGTTTATGCACTACCTATCAAATATTAAATACAGTAATTAAGAAGGAGACTCAATATAAGCAAACACAAGTTAAGTGGTTTGTTTAGGGTGACTTACTCCACTACGAAGGGCTACAATGATTTGAGTATTTTATTATTCAAGTAGTGTAAAGTGCTCAGATGTGCGTGATACTCCCCTCGTATAGGTGAGACTTATAATTTATAGGCGCTTCCTAACAAATTGAAGCGTTATTCTCGTAACAAATAAGATAATTCGATGAATGTGACATTATTTTTGTAACAAGCGAGACAATTGCATGGAGGTGGCAACGTGCACTCGATGGCTGTGTTCCATAGAGATCTTCTCATGTGTTAATTGTGGATTGAGTCTCTCAAGATGATGAGGTTAATCCAAGTGAACTTCCTTAATCACTTGATTTATATATTTGAGCTGAATTGTGTCTGCATCTTGGGTATGGTCTGGTCCTATCATATCATTTGAGATCTGGGCTGATCTAGGCCGGGCCCGTCAAGGTTATCAAATGTTACAATAAACTAGGCCAAATTGTAAACTCGACAGAACTTCAAACTACAAAAACAAAAACAAAAGAAAAATAAGACATTCTGAAACCTAACATCTACCATACTACTATACTACTTTCCATCTAGAGTTGCATTCTGTTGAAACAATTTTAGACGTTTGCGTCAGTTTATCCACCGCCACGGCGCACTTAACCTTTACCTTCAGTGCAGTCTTCCAGAGGAGATTCATGGAGGAGCAAAACTTGATATCAACATGAAATAATAAGTTGATCCCCAACAGCACCTTCCCTTTCTTCTCTTCATCAACTAAAGTCGACCTAACGTCTCTACTTAGTAAAATCCCTGGACCCTGCGACTCCGTTTGAAATACTATCAAGTTGTTCGGCGATTGGTAAAACGCCGGTAAAGCACCTCACCAAGGTGAACCGTGGAGTAATCGACCTTTATGGAGCCTCCTTTCTGGTGGTAGATATCAATCTTGTCGTTAGGATTTTTGGCAATGATAATGACGTCAAATTCCGACGACATACTGGTAGATGTTGTCACGTTGAAGCTTCGTATTGCTATGTCATCGACGGAGTACTCTGGCAGTTTCACTCGAGAAGCGAGGACGCCGGATGCAATTATTATGAGGAGGGCGATGAGAAATAGTGGGCCCAAGGTCCAACGGAGGCACCGACAGAGGTTTCTCCGGCGGGATTTCATGTCGGTGTATTCTTCGAGTAGACAGGCGTTTTTCGTTTGCGGGTAGCGGAGAATTTGGTCCCTGGAATCAGGACGAAGTAATCTCCTCCTGGTGGTGGTGGGAGAGATTTTTCTCGTTCCTAATGGAAAGGCTTTATACTTATAGGGCCATCGTGGGACGGAGACATCTTGGCAGATTCGTCGGTGGCCGGAGGTGAGCTTTTGTTTTCCACTTGAAACGCCATTATTTTGTGAGGTATTAATCGATGAATGTTAGTGTCTAAAAAAATATTAAATAGGTCGAGTGTCTCAATAAATGTTAAAACTTACGGTAAAATTAATGATCGTAATTATTAAGTTTAATTTTTAAGTTTATGTAGCATTGTTCGATCTTTAATTGGATGAACAATTTGACATATATTGTGATCGATCTTTGGTTGAATAATAACAGTGATGTTGGGAGTTAAAAAATGTTGTAAATATTTTTTATCCAAATATATATAGGAAGGAATTTATTATAGGAAAGTAAATTGCCAGCCAATAAATGTACTTTTTTTTTTAATTGACATATATAAGGAAAATTTTATAGGAAAAATGCATTTTTTAAGTAACGCATGTGAATAATTTTTAGTGATGGAGATGTTGTTTGGAGTCCAAACCTTAGTAAGAAAAATACTTTTTTTTTTCTTGGTACTATAATAAATGAAGGCAAATGAATTAATGTGCTATACATTGTGTAACGTAGGCACTCATATTACACCCAAAGATGAGTGCTCTCATATTTTGACTTCCTTAGAGCCTCCGGTAGCATAGTCGAGACAGAGTCACGATCTTTTCTAGGACTTTTGACTATCTCACTAAAAATTCATTAATTATTTAGCCAAATACACACGGCCTTAACAATCATTGATTAAGAAGGGACAACTGTTGGTGAGGTCTTTCGACCGATAATGATGATTATCCACTAATACGACCATGTTCTATGTTGGAGCAAACTAAGAATTAACAGAGAAAGAGAAGAATATTTCAGTGTAATCTATTTTTTTTATTAACTGCAAATGTGCTTAAATACAACTTAAAAAAAACAGAAATTCCTATATTCCAGCTCAACCATGGAACATGCCTCCATGTTTAACAATTTAGCTAGAAAAATGGAAATGATGACTGAAATGCAGTAGAACAAGTCAATAAATAAAAAATATAACAGAAAAAGAAAAATTACAGCAACTAAATAGGAAATGCAGTAGCTAAGTCAACTTCTTAACACTCCTCCTTGGCTTTGATGCTGCAAACTCCAAGTTTTTCCCTTAAAAACTCAAATTTGCTTCTTACCAAAGGTTTGGTGAAGATGTCTGCAACATTGTCATCAGTTTTGCAATATTTCAGAACAACAGAACCTTCTTTCTGCACATCTCTAAGAAAAAACAATTTTATATTAAAGTGCTTCGTTTTTCCATGAAAAACGGGATTGTTTGAGATAGCTATTGCTGCTTGATTATCCACAAACACATCTGTGCCTTCATTTTGCTTCAGGTTTAGATCAAATAACACCTTTCTAAGCCATAAAGCTTGATTTGCAGCAGCTGTAGCTGCAATAAACTCTGCCTCCGCAGTTGATTGTGCAACAACTTCTTGTTTTTTACAACACCAAGAGAACATTCCTGACCCCAGATTAAAACAATAACCTGAAGTACTCTTCATATCATCAGAACCACCATGATCACTATCAGAATAGCCCTGCAGAACATGAATCTGACTAGCACATAACTTGATTCCATGCTTCAATGTTCCTTTCACATATCTTAGAACTCTTTTAGCAGTAGAAAAATGAGTTTCAGTAGCACAATTCGTAAATCTAGATAGCAGACTCACAGAATGTAAGATGTCAGGTCTTGTGGCTGTTAAATACATCAAACAATCCACTAGACTTCTGTAAAGAGTTTCATCAACCTTTTCCGCTACATCTTCCTTGCTGAGCTTTTCATTTTTACCCATAGGAGTTGTAGCAATCTTGCACTCATCCATTCTGAATTTCTTCAGAATTTCTTTAGCATATTTGGTTTGGCAAATGAACACCTCTTTCTCCTTTTGTTGAACCTCCATTCCAAGAAAATATGCCATTTCCTCCAAGTCAGTCATCTCAAAGGTCTGTTGTATATCTTTCTTGAATTTATTCACAAGTTCCAAGTTGTTTCCTGTAACAAGTAAGTCATCCACATACAGAGAAACAACAGCAAAATTGATCTCATCACCTTTGATGTAGAGGGTAGCCTCATTGAGACTTTTTTTGAATCCCAGCTGCATCAAATGCTCATCAATTCTGCCATACCAGGCCCTTGGTGCCTGCTTCAGGCCGTATAGAGCTTTTTTAAGCAAATACACATCTTCTTCTTGCTCTTTCACAACAAATCCCTCAGGTTGTTCTACGTAGATCTCCTCATCAAGAAGACCATTTAGAAATGCTGACTTGACATCTAACTGGTACACTTTCCAACCCTTTTGAGCAGCAATGGCCAGCAGTAACCTGATTGTTTCAATTCTGGCAACAGGAGCAAATGTGTCAGAAAAATCAACACCAGGGATTTGAGCATAACCTTTCACAACAAGCCTTGCTTTATGCTTGTTTATAGAGCCATCTCCATTCAGCTTTGTTCTAAATACCCACTTCACTCCAATCACCTTTCTGTCATCAGGTCTTTTTACCAGCTGCCACGTTTTATTTTTCTCAATCATGCTCAACTCCTCCTTCATTGCAGCTACCCATTTTGGATCTCTTTCTGCCTCCTGAAAATTTTCTGGTTCCAGGACTGTAATGTTGCACTTCTGATAGATTTCAGAAAGTGATCTTGTACCTCTGATAAGTTCATCATCAACCAAATCAGATTCGGACAGCTCTAGCAACTTTGAATCTTGACTTGGAATTTTACCAGCCTGATCTCCTCTCCAATTCCATTTAGCATCTTCCATAAAATGCACATCTCTGCTTATCAGAATTTTTTTTGTATTAGGTTGAAAAACTCTATAAGCCTTTGAAACTAAGTTGTATCCCACAAAGATTCCAGCTTCAGCTTTTCTGTCGAGCTTGTCTCTTTTAATCTGAGGCACATAAGTGAAACACAAGCAGCCAAACACTTTTAAATTCTTTAAAGAAGGTTTGTAACCATACCAAGCCTCAAAAGGTGTCCTCCCATCAACTGCCTTTGTAGGAAGTCTATTTAGCAGAAACACAGAAGTGTTAGCAGCCTCTGCCCAGTACTCTTTTGGCAACTCCTTCTCATGAAGCAAGCACCTGGCCATCTCCATCACTGTACGATTTTTACGTTCACTGACTCCATTTTGCTGAGGAGTATATGGAGCAGTGAGTTGATGTTCAATTCCAGCCTCTTCACAGAACTCACTGAAAGTTGCAGACGTGTACTCCTTCCCATTATCAGACCTCAACGTCTGAATTTTGCAGCCACTTTGTGTTTCAATCCAGTTCTTGAATTTCCAGAACACACCAGCCACTTCTGATTTGAACCTGAGAAAATATATCCAGCACATTCTGCTAGAATCATCAATGAAAAGCAGATAATACTTACTCCCATTAAATGAAGGAGTTCTATGTGGACCAGCCACATCAGTATGAATCAACTGAAGTTTTTCTGATGCTCTCCAGGTAGCTTTCTTGAAAGGAAGCCTTGATTGCTTTCCATATTGGCAAGCCTTGCATTCTGGCAGTTCAACTTCAAGATTATGCAAACCTTGAACAAGTTCATTCTTTTGCATATTCACCACTGCTCTATGATGAAAATGACCCAGCCTTCTATGCCACACTTCTGCATTCACTGTTGTTGCTGAGTAAACTGATTGCTTTGCCTGTAGAGGATCTAGTGCAAAACTCTTCCCTTTCATTCTCACTTTGAACATATCTTCATCTTTTGAGTTTTTGATTAAGCAATGATTGCCCTCAAAAACCACTTTAAAACCATTTTCAAGAAGCTGGCCAACACTCAACAAATTTTAGTTAATGTTAGGTACAAATAACACTTCTCGGATAAGCTTTGTACCTTTTGAAGTTTCCACTGCAATTTTGCCTTTCCCTTTCACTGCGATACATTCTCCATTACCAATTTTCACTTTGGAAATGAATGACGTATCCAGCTCCTTGAATAGATCCCTGTCAAATGTCATGTGGTTGGTGCAACCACTGTTAATGAGCCACTTGTCACTTGAATGACTTGCTGCAAGACTGGTAGCTACAAATAGTTGCTCCTCTTCATGATCAGCTACTTGAACAACATTTTTCTGCTGAAGATCAACTTGAGCTACAACCTTCTGAATGTTGCTCTTGCATATTTTCTGATGATGTCCCATTTTCTGGCACTTCTCACATTTCACATAAGGTCTCCTCCAGCATTTTGATGGTGGATGACCCTTTTTGTTGCAGTGCTTACAAGGAGGAAAGTCAGACTTTGATGAATCTGAACCTTCGTTCTTGTTTCCTTTGAACTTCCCTTTCCATCCTTGGTTTGTTTGCACCTTTGCAGCCAATGCTCCTGTGAAGACCCTGGTCCATTACCGGACCCCTGTCTTCCAAGGGCACTCCTCCCATTACCGGGATATACCGCCCTCCACCAAAGGATTTCGGCTAACCTGCAGGACTCGCCCCACAGTAGCCTTTACCTCTGTCCCACATCGGGGAAAGAGTCGTCTCCCCACCCCCATATAAGCCGAAGCACAATATGGAAGCAGTACCCAAATAGCACGAAGCACAATATGGAAGCAGTACCCATCTAGCACTAGTGCTATTTGGGTACTGCTTCCATATTGTGCTTCGGCTTATATGGGGGTGGGGAGACGACTCTTTCCCCGATGTGGGATAGAGGTAAAGGCTACTGTGGGGCGAGTCCTGTAAAACCCGAAAAAAAAAATATATATATTATTAATCCTAATAAAAATAAAAGGGTAAAATAATAATTAATTGTTAAATTATGGGTCAAAAACGTAAATTTAAAAAAAAATAATAATAATATATATATACATATATAAGTGGAAGACTTTCAAGTCTTCCACTTTTTGGGTGTTCTACGGCCGGTGAGAAAGAGAGAGTGAGGAAAAATAAACAGAGAGTTTTTTTATTTTTTTTCTCTTTTCTTCCTTCTCAGATCTAGGAAAATTTAACCGTTTAATCGTTTCGGGCCAAGAACTAAAGTTGCTCTACTCAGCGAGAGCTACG